AGTGGTCTGTGTACTGTATTTCAGTTGTAATGCGTGAAGACACTTGTCTGTACTGTAACTCAGTAAGGACAGTGGTCTGTGTACTGTATTACAGTTGTAATGCGTGAAGACACTTGTCTGTACTGTAACAGTAGTCTGTCTGGTAGATAAAAGGCACTGTGATCCAGCTGGTCCCCCCCGCCATACAGTAAGACGGTACCTCTTTAGCATCCAGGTTGGCAGGGTCCAGGCTGAGGGAGTACAGGACGTCTCGTCCACCCAGGAAGAGCCGGTCATGGTACTCGTCCAGGAAAACGGTGCTCAGGCTGAGGGAGCCGCGGTTACCGCTGAACACTGAGGACCGGTTGGAGGCCAGGAGATCTGCAGCACACGGAGGGGACGAGGGAGAGAGGGAGAGAGGGAGTGAGGCGATTCACCTCTCTGGCACTCACTCTCACAGGCTGACCCCGCAGGAAATCAGGCTCTCAGAAGGCTGAGATGGAGGACAGAGTTGTAAAAACACATGGATATCAAGAAGAAAACTCTGGAAAGTCACCTTCTGTTGAGTCATAACCAGTGGTGCGTCGGTTCAAAAGGAAGTATCCTACCAGCACGTCCTCCGTGTCAAGAGGGTGTTTTTGAAGGCCACAATGACAATTTCGGATTTCATACAGCTTATTTTCTCAGCTGATCCACTCTGAAGCTCTCCACCGACACACACCAACCCCTTCTGAATCAGATGCATCCCCGCAGCAGGAAGGTTTTGTCACACACGCGGGGCTGTTCCGGGGAGTGTGTGGAGCCATGCTGGGGTTATTCCCTCTCTGTGCTCCTGACCCAGGCCCCGCCGGGTTCTCTGTTGGCCTGCAAGTCGGACAAACGGGCTCCTTTCTAAATCGCCGGGAGTCGGCGTTTACTCAGCTCTCTCTCTGAAACATGGGGATTAACACACCCTGCAACAGTGGTCTCTGCTCCCCGGGGGATCAGATAACTGATCCTGGTCCCTGCGGGCCTCTGTGGGGCCCCCAGGAGCAGGTTCAGGTTGAAAGAGAAGTGCCTTGCGCCAGTGTCTGCCCTCGCCCTGGCTCACCTTCAAATACAGCGAAGAAAACTGGAAATATACAGACTAAATCAAATAAAAACAGACATTCAAATCTGTTGACTAGAGGCCTGATTTGTTCAAACGGGACGCTCTGTCAAAAAGTAATGCGTGGGACCCTCTCCCCCGCCTGCTCATCGTCCTGTCTCGGTATGATAGACTCTCGACACGCTGGGGACGGAGGCAGCTGGTCAGGGCCGAACAGCGCACACTGTGAGCGAAGGACCAGGCTGTGCTCCCTGGGAGACACAGGGTAGGGTTACAGCCAGCCCCCAGCCTCCCGCCACCCAGGCACGCCCGGGGATCAGCATGCCACCCGCTGTCCGTCAGAATCAGGAGGAGGAACAGCAGCTCCATTCCGCAACACCTGTCCCGACAGCTAAGCTGAGGAATTCCTGGGCGCGCCTGGCCTGGCCACACCGGCAGCTGCTGCCTAAGAGCTTAACCCAAGCCCCATTCACTGCTGTTCTGTACCCCTGGCGCTAGGAAAGACAAGAACCCCTCACACTGAGGCGCCTGGCAGCCATCGCACAGCGCAAGAACGTTCCACTCGAGCACGGCCGGAATGAGCCACAGCTCTAGGCAGTCACAGTCGGCTTCAGCACCTTGGGCTCTCCACCACCAGGCCCTGTGTAAGTCCAGAAAGGGACGGTTTGGCCTCTCCCCATACAGGGCCGCAGTACACGACAGGGTTAAAAGAGAATGTTTGCACCAAAGCTTCCTCCCATTTATGGGCCGGGCCAGTACCAGACACTCCTGGGCCTTGGGCTTGCAGGTCAGGCCTCTGCTTTACAGCCCCCGCAAAAAACACTCTGCTCTCCAATCCGGATGCGAATGGAAATCCTACAGGACGCGAGAAGCAGAGTTCACAGAGAGTCCTTCAATCAGCCAGCGGGATTCGTCCAGGACTCTTCATGAGTCCGGTGAACGGTGCCCTGCAGGAGACCAGCGGGGATCGCGCAGGTCTCTTCGCCCCGAGGGCCGCCGGGATGTGTTTTTGAGTCTGTGCCCGGGGCGAGCGAGAGCAAGATTCGGGTCTCTGCGTCTGTGTGGGCTCTGGGATCACGCTGCAGTTTCCCATCACCCTGTTTGATGTGGGGCCAGGAGAGATTGCTGTGGTTTTGTGCTGTGCAGACAGGAACTGTGGAGCAGCCAGGCTCCTTTCTTGAGAAAGTAAAGAAACCGAGAGGCTGGAGTTCAAGGTGGAACCAAACACTGGGAGCCAAGAACTTTCAAATACCGTCTCTGGTCTCTGGAGAAGAGCATGCTGTTCAACAGTTTTATGACTTGTGAGCTTAAAGGCACTCCCATGAACTGTTCATTCACTTCTTGCTAGATAAAGTGAAGGATTGTTTAACTCACTACTTCCCTGCAGCCAGAAGAATTGAGGCTGGGGGTAGTATATGCGTGTAACAGTCACACAGCACATTACGCGTCCGTACAGTCCTCTTGTGTGTCCTGTCCAAGATCCGCTAGTCTACAAGGCCTGGAAAAAAATCCCAGTGGAAGAAGCGGACAGAAAGCACATGACACGATGGACAAGAAGATGAGAGCACATCAAACCAATCAAGGCAAATCTACAGCCAGCTGCTGTGTTAACACGAACAGCTCAATACCCAAGCAGTGGCCTAGTTTTCCGAAAAGACTGAGCTACCTGACACTGGATATCCCAGGTATTTCAGCACTGAGCTCCCTGCTGGTTTGGTGCCCCAGTTCAAAGCAGACGCACTAAAGAGCTCAGTCAGTATCGCTCAGGCAGGGTGCTGACAGACAGTGACAGCCTGTCAATGCGGCGGCTGTGTTTCTGTCAGAGGGTGGTTACATCTGCAGGGAGGGCGCGCAGACAGATACGCTCCCAGCCTGTCTGGGCAGTCTGCCTCCCCCCACCCCCCCGGAGTCTCAGGGGACCCCCTGTCACTGAGCACACTGTTGATCTGTCTCCCCAAAAACTCCCCGGGGGTATCCGACCGCGAGGGGCTCTCGCTGTCTGTGCCCACCAGCGGAGTCTTTGGGTTTGGGGCCTGGGTTAGGGTTACAACTCAGGAGGTGCTCCGGAATGAGGTCAGGGCTGGAAGCATGTGGATCCTCCAGAACACTTCTGGGGAGCTTTTTTTTTTCTGGCAAGCAGATCAAGACTCTTCTCCTCTCGCTACTGGACTAGGGATGGCAGGATGGAAAACGAGGCCTGTGGAGTTCCACAGCAGGGAGTTTCACAGACACTCAGAGGCAGAAAAGACCAGGATACCAGGATGATCGGAATGGCTCAGCACTGGAGCGTGCCTGCTGTGGGGGTCCGTCTCTGCCCTGCAGGAACACAGATGCTGGAAATACCCGACGACGGACTCGTCTGCTGTATTTTCTGCAAAATTTCAATTCGGTGCAGCAGCGACAGCATAGGAATTTCACCTGCTCCTGTTCTAAATGGCCCTGTCCCTGCATTGTTACTAAAAGCCCAGTGTGTTAAGGAAGCAAGCCTGCTTCCTCCTGCTCCCTAGCCTAAAACAATGGGTATCCTTATGGCTGTCAGAATCCAACAACGCAGGCAGCTGCTAGCAATCCTGCTAAAATAAACACTCACCACAAACTGGGCTACAAAGTGTAATCCTGCCTTGCTCTAAGTGCAGGATTAACAGAACTTCTGAGCACAGCCCTGACAAGGGGCAGGAGGAAGAGCCAGCAGAGTTTTCATCAGATGCTCGACAGGCACCTTCTGCGAGCTCGGAAAAAGCTCGAGAAAACAGATCCACGGACACCTGAAAGACCCTGACAGGCTGCGTCTGGAAAACGTGACGAAGGATGGTGGCAGACCTGTCAGTGGCGGAGCTCTCCCGCCACATTCCTGACCTTCCAGCGCTCGTCAGAGGACTCGAGAGACGCTGACAGCACACTTGCCAAGCCGGAGCCGGCGACTGATCTTCACAGCTCCATCATCCATTCGCGAGCGCCGCAGGCCAGGACGGGCCTCGCAGCTCGGCTCCTGCACAGCTTTGCGCTGTGCGCTTTTGACGGAAATCGGCAGGGTTGGGACGCACAGTACGCCAGCCACCACCCCGAGAACTCTGTGCCTCCTTCACAGCACAACAGTAGGGGGATCGGGGGACTCCAGCACTTACACAACGGGGTGAGATATTAGAGGAAGAAAAGCGAAGAAAAAGCACAAACAAGAATTTAAGTTTACTGGCAGAAGAAGACATTTTGGCCCATGTGATCAGTTTTGTTTGGTAGCAACTAAGTGATCGGAGGCTCTCATCCAGCCATTTGTTAAAAGAAACCAGGGTATTCGCTACAACAGCTTGTTCCACACTCCCACCCCCCTTTGTGTAAAAGTATCTCCTGTTCTCAGTCCTGCAGAAATGAGAGCTGGAGCTCTGGAAAGTGCAGACATTCCTCCCTATACGATTTTGTATATGCTCTCCTTCTCTGCTCAGGGATCAAGACTGCAGCCACAGGATTCACTGGTCCTGAGTGATTCCCACCCACACTGGGCATGTCCAACCCCATCCTGGAGAGCAAGCCTTTAGGAATCTGTTCATTTGCAGCCGGTCTGGACCCGAGGAAGATGGTCAGCGAGACCAGTTAAAGCAAATCAATCAAGTAACTGAAAAGAGCGCCTGGAAAAGACAACCTACAGTAGATGCTGCAGAACTACAGTATAGCTCAGTGAGAACGTCTTTATCCTGACCTCTCCTCCAGCCTCCTCTAGAGTTAAGCCAGTGCCAGTCTCCTTGCTCCATCCAGACGGCTCAGCACAAGCCTCAGTATGGAGCCCCAAGGCCAAAGTTTCTGACATGCATCTGCCCCAGCTCGTCCCCTCCCTGTCCTGGGTGTTTGTCCAGATAATTGGAAGGAAAAACATCTCGCCTCTGCCTCCCGACTGCCCCCGTCTCCGGCTGTAATTGCCCCTCCTGGCTCGATTCCCCCTAATCCACTAATCTGTGAGAAGGCTGAGTGATCCGTTCCCCCCCCCTGCCCTGTAACCAGACCCCCGGGATAATATTGATTCAGCAGGAAACCATCGGCCAGCAGGCTGGAACATCTCCTTTCGCGCTCCTCCCAAGAAAATACAGAGCCATTAGCATGGCGGGGTCTTCTAAACAGCCAGAGGCTGGCGGCGGGAGTACGGACCAGCGTTCGCAAATGATTCAAATGAGATCCAAGCTTAATTGGGCACAGGCTTCCACCACAAGGAAAGAACGCAGGCAACTCGCATCCGGCCCTCCAGTGACCTGCCACTTCCCCTGCATTGAAAACAGGGCAGGAGGCACTTCTTTACCCAAAGGGT